ATAAGACTGGATTGCCCCCTCTCGGGCCCTCATCTTATGATTGGCTTGCTCCTGAGCCCACAACATAAGACTAGATTACCCCCCTCCCGGGCCCTCATCTTATGACTGGCTTACTTCTGAGCCCACAACATAAGATTGGATTGCCCCCCTCCCGGGCCCTTAGCTTATGACGGGATTGCTCCCCGGATTTGTTGGCTTATAACACAAAGCAATACTGCCTCAACCCAACCATACTATGTCGATATATGCACACAAAACAATAACAAACAACACTTGTGTGTCATAGTGGATCTACTAACATAACACTACAACATAACAACATCCTACACATAAGGACATATACCGCAGTACAAAGTATAGTGAGAAAACTAACTTGGACGAAGAGCTAAAATCCACTACTCAAAGTTCCACAGTATCATCGACATGATCCTCCTAAACCAAACACATACTAAACTTCAGACTACAACCTAACACCACTCAAAGTTTGACAAAAAGTCAAACATGTCAAAAGGTCAATGCTCAACGGCCAAAGTCAACCCCAGACCACTCCTACGTCATGGCCATTCATTGGTCACGTCGTGTCATATTCACGACAAAACGATCACGATGGCACTAGGCGTCACGTCGTGGCAAGCAGGTTGCGACGTCGTGAAAGCTAAAATCTCATAACTTAATGGGTTAATCTCTTAATCCTTCAAGCCACCTATTCATACCTTCCATAAGGGCTTATTACTTTTATTCCAACATAAAATCGTAGCTTTATAGACTTGCATGCCCAATGCAAGTCTAGAACTCAAACTAGGTCAAAATGGAGAAATAAGACGAAAATATCATGTATGGAGCTCAATACATAATCAAACTTCAGATCCAAAAGATATAAAGATCAAGGGACCAAGATGAGCTATAAAGTTGCAAACTTTATCTCATTTAACCAACCCAAACTCGAAAATGAGCCAAGAAATGCAATAAATCCTAGATCTATGGAGAGAGAACCAAAAAAATGGAAACTTTATACATTCCCAAGCTCCACTAGATACAGGAGATGCAAGATCTGGAGTGATACACTCTTCCAACTAGCAAGCACACCGTCTCCTTTTTCTTCAAGGGCTAAAATCATCATAAAGAGCTCACAAGGTCAATATGAATGCTAGGGTTTTATCAGAGGGTGAAAGGGAGGTAATGGAGGTTGAGGGTGCCCTAGCCCTCACATTCCTTAAATAGGAGCACAAATCCCGAAATTAAGGTTAAACACCCAAGCAGCCGTCACACTATGACCAAGGGTTTGTCACGTTATGACGTACAAGATTGAAATGCACTTATACATATATTGCCACGTCGTGGCAACCCATGTTCACGTCGTGGAACAAGGTTATTCCCAAAAACCTCATCTTTGATCCCATTAAGTTTTTAGTTGATCCACTCTAGAAAAAGAGTGTTACAATGTTTTAATGAAACTAATGAATATTAAGCAAAATATTTATATTTGGCGAAAGTTATAGCAATTTTGGGGTGTTTACGCTACTTATATAGTTAACACTTAAAACATGACACATCATAAAATGTTAATAGTTGGGGATTTACTTCACATGATGGGTCTTATGTGTTTTATTCTTTTTTATTTATATTTATGTAATCAATTACAAATCATGTGCAAAATTATTTTTCTTAGGAAATATATTTGCCAAATTAAAGCAATTCCATAAATTGCAATATTTTAAAATAATTAATTGTTTGCGATTAATATAAAATTTTGGTTATTTGATGATAATACTATTTTGGTATTTCCATGATTAATATGAAAAATTGGGTTATTTAATGATAATACTCTTTTGGTATCTTTATGATTAACCCATAAAAATTTATGTTATTTTAACTTTATATCAAATCTCCCCGTCCATACCTTTCTCTCTCCCAGCTTTTTCCTCCCTTTTTTAAACACTCCCAATATAAAAGGCTTGACCGTATTTAAAATTATATTTTTATTATTAAATTACTTGTTTTTAATTAAAAAATACATTGCATCTCCTCCATAAACCGCCCAAACTCCCAGACACACACAGTTAACGAGAGATTCATTCATGTGTATGTGTGTTTGATTATATATGAATCTTGCATCAGAACAGAGCATCGTCACTTCGTTAATTTGAACTCTAGATTTCTGTTGAGAGATCACACCGCTTGTAAAGTTGTAATCTCTCTACAGATTCTGACGATCGGTATACTTCTGATTAATCAAGAGTCAGATTCATTTCTCTGAGTGCTACCGGCGTTTCAATTTGAAGATTTTCGCTTAATCTGCTGCGGATTTGAAGTTGGCAACTGTATGAGGTAATTTGTTTAATTGCTGTTCTTTGATTTGTTGTTTTGCCTGTTTTACTCTACGGACATTCACCATATTCGAAATCATTGTTTGTTTTTCGTTTTCTGTTCTAATCTCTGATAACATGATGGTGAATTGGTTTTAAGTGGAGATACATTTGACTATTCGTGGTGAGAAAACGACGTTTTGTCTTTAATTTTGTTTCTAAAAAAAGCCAAATGTTGTTTTTAGGATCACATTAACTCAGATTCTTCTGATAATTTTCACCATTTTAGTTCATCAACTGTGTATCAACTATCAAGCATTCACTCGCATTGTTGAAATGGAGTTATTGATATCTGTTTTTAGTTCGTTTTCCACTTATTCAACACAATCAAAAGCTCCAAAATGCTCGGTCGATTTAGAGTGAAGTGGATTTTTGACTTTTGATAGTCTTCCTTTTGACTTAATTTTTTTCATAGTCGAATTGAAAATCAAAATCTTCGGCGTTTTTAGAGGATCATCCGTTAAACAGTTAATAATAATGTTTGACCACATTTTTCAAAAAATCTCTTTCGATAGTGATACATTTGAAATCTGGAAGTTTTCAATTTCAAAAACGATATGAACAATGATCTTACACACGTACTCAATTCCAACCCCAATCATCTGTTGAATTCTCTGGAGCTTTTTGTTATGTTTCTACTTTCTACTGTAGGCGATATTCAGGATTGCTTTTTGACTCTTCTTTTTTGCTTTAAACACAAGTCAATCCCCCATTCCCCCTGGCCCTCTATCACTGTACTCATCTTAAACATGCTTATGCACAAATCATAATGAAGTTAGGATCTGTTAATACAATCACGCATTTTGTCATTACTATAATAATGATAATGATCAAAACAAATCAAGAAACATAAAAGAAAAAAGGATTAGGAGATGAAGTAGAAACTAGAAAGGACAGGGGTAGATGAAGCACATGTCATAGCTAGTAAAGCTTAAATAAGATGGAACACATGAAGTTATGAGTTTGTAAAACGACATACCACTGCAGGAAATAGTTTCACTAATTTGGCTTTGTGTCAGATATGTCATTTGTCTTACCCCCTTCTCTCAAATTCACCCCTTTAAAAGTTTAAATTAGAATTCAAGTAAAAATGTTAGGATTGAGAGAGTGTCAAAATGACCGGGTAATCCAACTGTCCACCAAGACCTCCCATGTCTGTCATATTCCTAAAGTGGGTAATATGGTAATTTACATGCTTTCTGTAAAAGCAAATTAACCTTTATGCATTAAGAGCACTGAAGTATAAAGTCGATTGTAGGATGGTTTGACAGCTTAACCATATAATCAAATAACCACTGAAAATTTTACCTAACAGGTCATAAATATTTTATTTTTGAATATATGCTTTAATTATTTGGTTTAATACTTTACTATTGTATCAAATGCTCGGTTTTTTTTTCTACTTTTTAATTTATGTCTCTACTTATTCTTTAATTTGTATCGATGATACCAAAAATAAAATTTGAATCTTTAGAATCCTAGACTGTGTAACTTGCCCTTTTATTAAGAGACATGTCTTTTTTTTTTTTTTTTTTTTTTCAATTGAGTGATGAATGGGGCATCTCTAGATGCGTTAAAAAGGAACATTTGATTTTAGTCACTTTATCTTTGCTAGTTTTTATTATATAAATAAATGAATAATATATGTTTTTTTTTAATTTACATATTTATCGTTGTATAATATACATAATTAATAATTTTTTTATGCAAATAGCCTAATGAAATGAGTTTCTTTTATTTCCGTTATGTTTCACTTTATGAAAAAAAACAAATATTAATTACATACCAATTTATGCATATCTAAATTGATAAGATCTTAGTAATAAACTGAAAATAATATCATGATTGATAGAATGTTGTAGGTTTTTCTTAATTCTATTTTATGAAGTATTTTTTTTTAATTGATAAAATTATTAAACTACCCATTCAAGATATTGATTTTTTTTTTTTTCAAAACGAAGAGAGATTAATTAACTTCTCGAACTCTAAACCCTTTTTTGTAACAGATCTATGCATGCAAATTTGTGCCACGCTAATTTTTCAATTTCGTGAGTTGCGCCATGAAATTTTGTGCCTTATTTTAAAATGTTCAAATATATTGATTTTTGTAATTAAAAATCAGGGGTTGGTACACTTTTTTTTTTTTTTAAATTATCGTGCATATATTACTATTATAAAAACATATTTTAAATATGTACTATAAATATAAACAATTAAACATATGTCATCTTCTGTTGTTTAGTTTAAAATTAAAAATAACATGTTTTAGAAATTAGAATATATACGTGCATACCTAAACTCTTTCTAGATGTGCCATTATTATAAAGTATTGCATTTTTTTAGATCAATAATTTTACAATAAAAGATAATATTATCAAATGTGAGTCATTTCCTTACGAAAAATTATTACACGTTATTTTTGTTATATATATATATATATATATATATATATATATATATATATATATATATATATATATATATATCTATATATATATATTTGTATTTCAAACAATGAGTGCGTGACACCACGCAAGTCCACCGCGCGTACTGAAAATATGACTTCTCGTTGTAGGTTTGATTAACCGGCTAACCACCGCCGACGGTGACGCCGCCGAAGAGGTTTGATCTCCGATGGTCAGGGAAGAAAACAATTGCCCATGTGAAAACCCATCACGTAATACACCCCCTACCACCGGAATCACCAGAAGAAATCACCGGTACCCGGCGGAGGAAGGCGGAGGGCCACAAGATCCAGACGTCGGATGCTCCGGCCAGTCTTGCCGGTCATGCACGGCGGGAGCAATCGCCGACTGCGTGGCAGTCTGTTGCTGCCCTTGCGCTGTCGTCAATTTCTTCACCCTCACTTGCCTCAAACTTCCATGGATGATGGGGAGAAAGTGTTTGGGTTTAGGTAATAAAAAGAAAAAAAAGTTAAAAAACGATGAAAAAGAAAAGGACAGAAGTGGAATTTTGAGAAAAGTTGAGGGACTAGAAAGTAAAAAATCGGAAAATTTAAGAGCTTTAGAAGAACAAGAAGACGAAAAAGACGACCACAGTGCAAGGTTCGAAACAGAAGTCTGGTTAGAATTGTATAAAGTTGATGAGTTAGGTTTCGGTAGAGTGTCCTTCACTGGAATTCAATCTCTCGAGTAACAAAAACAATGCATTCTTGACTTGTACATTGCAAGTAAAATGCTTATAAAAAATGACTTGTACATTGTGCTTTATAAGTTGTACACCGACAATTTGGTTATTTTGGGGTAAGGTTTTGTCTTGTAGCTATTTGAAAGATGAATATGGTAAAAGGGTGTGTGAAATGATTTGAAAGGAAGAATGTTTATGTGCATGTTTACATGTCCCACGCAATGTTATCATCAAATTGTACAATTTCCACCCTCCGTGACTCTGTCTTTTTCTATCCTACCCTTCGAATCTACTTGTACTATTTATTTTTGGGTAACTTTTTGTTTCTCTTTATAATTACATAAATAAATAACCACACATTTATTAGACACGTACACCAAATGTTGTGACTTTATCAATGTGACATGATATGGATCTTTAGAGCGTTGTGGATTTTGATATAAGAAATGTTGTATTGTGAATTTGACAATTTGTGATTAGTAAGTTTGTAACAACTTATTTGTAAACAACGAAAAAGTAATATGATGGTAACTAGCTTTGAAGGGGTCTTACGGGTCGGCCCATAAAAAAACTACACACAAATAATAAAGTTTGTTGTCACAAACAAAATGAATATCAATTTCAAAGTTTGGTTTGTTGATGATGAAACAGATTAGAGGACATATACATAATAGTGTCTTTCATGATGGAAGAGTGAATTTAATGCACAAGATTGCATACCGGTAAATTCTATGTTGAAGGAGTAATAAGTTATCGATTGAGAGCTCGAGAGGATGTGGTGAAGATAATGTCATCCATATAAAGAAGGAGATAGACAACACATGTCCCATGACGATAAATGAAGTGGGAATCACATCTACGATGATCGAATCGTAAGATAGTCATGAATTGACTAGAGTGGTGGAAGTAAGCTCATATATGGACTTTCACATCTGACATGCATGATTGGGTTTTGTTGAACAACAAATTCAAATTGTTGATGCATTTACATAGTATCACAAAGATCTTTATTAAGAAACACATTGTTAGACATTCATGTAATGAATAAGCCACTGAAGTGATACGACAAGGTTAAAAACCATACAAATAGTGGTCAGTTTTTAAAGTGGACTAGATGTCTCATAAAAGTCAATACACAAACAATGGTTGTTACAACTCTCAACAATGTATACTTATAGCAATCTAACGAGTCTTCATCGAGAAGTTTTTTTTGAATAACCAGAGGACTCATACATTATTGATCCCTTAAAGAGGAGGGAGTCCTTCCTTTCCAACTCACTGTCACCTCAGCGTCACATCAGTTTTTCTTTCTTATTTCTCCTCCAACCATACGAACCCACAACATATAGAATTCATATATTTCCTAACTCATTCAACCCATGTAATTTTTAATTTTAAAATAAAGACAAACTAATAAAAAATTTATAAATTAATTCAAAAAATATAAAATTAATTTATAAAAACAAAATATTAATTATATTTGATATTATTATATTTTTGTAAATTAAAAAAGCAACGTTTTATATATATATATATATATATATATATATATATATATATAGATATATATATAATATATATATTAAAAATGCATAAACCTAAAAACACCTTAAAATGTATAAAAAAAAATACTTTGAGATATCTAATCTTTTTTTTGACTTTACAAAATTAAAAATCGCTGAAAACAAATTAAAAATAATAATAATAAACTTTTTTTTTGTAAAAAAAATTTCAATTTTTTTTCTTGCAGTGAATGTATTCCAAAACCTATGATTTTTAGCTGTATAAAATCAAAAAAGATTAGATACCTTAAAGTATTTCTTTATATGTATTTCTATTAATTTTCTTATATATATATATATATATATATATATATATATATATATATATATATATATATATATATATATTATATATATATGTTTGTGTATATAGAGAGTATGAAAAAAAGGTTATTTAGCAATTGAATTAATGGGTTAGTGAACCCGCTCACCTAATAAAAATCTCACAAATCATCACAACCCGTCGGTAATGGTATCATTCCCTTTGGTACCGCCGACACCAAACTTAAGCTCACTTAGGTTTATAAAACAAGCACAAAGTACTCATTTCAATTAAAGCACTATATTCATCTTGCGTGGCTTTAAGGCATAATGGATCCTCAAAGGCATATATATTTATTAGACAAAATGGAAAAAATGGTCTATGTGCTATGTATTTTTTCAAAGGTTTAGGCAAAACCTCGATTTTTTTGGTTTCATGGTCCTTTTGAGTAAGTTTCATTGCAGATTTGGTCCCTCGGTAACATGATCTATAGGGGGTTTGGTTGCTTGATGATGTAACTGCCTTGGAAGCTTTCCTGAGAACACAATCATAGAAGAATCGTTAGAGGACGACCGGGTGCTCTCCCGGGACGTCACTCCGACGATCAAGTTAGTTTTATGAGAGAGAGAGAGAATTAGGGTAAACTCGGTGAGAGAGAAGATGGATCCATTCCTTGAGGCGGAAGAGATCCTTTTATACCTGTTACTAACGGATCGTAGGGACCTCGTCCAATGAGTGTGATATGTGGTCTCCTCTAATTGGGAGAATTATGTCAACGTTAACTAACTGCCTGGTGACGTCAGTGTTGGGCGTCACCAAGGCTTCTTGTCATGTCCTGATTGGTCGTAAGTGAATGAGAAGATCACGGGGAATATTCGTCCCTCGTGGAGGGAAGCGAATTGTTGCCTCAGTGTTGGATTATTTGGGCCAAGGTCGAGCCTTGGCCAAGGTTCTGACGAGATAACGTCTCGTTTGTACTCCCGTTACATTTAACATGACCGTTCATGGTAACGTTAACAGTAACTAAAATGACTTTAACGCCCTTATTATATATTTTTTATGTTTTTTCTATTTAATTTAAATGAAAATGAAAATAAATAATTAATTTGGGCCCACATATCTCTTTCTCTCTCTCTATCTCTCTCTCTCTCTCTCTCTCTCTCTCTCTTCGTTTTAATACCCAAAAGATATATCATCTTCTTCAAAACCCACATTCTTCTCCTCACCATCGTTCCTTCTTCCTAGACACGTTTCTCCTTCCATCCACAACAAATCAGCCACCAACACCACAATCACCCACCATCATTATTCTCATAGTCGATACCATCCGGAAAACCCCTATTCTGATCATCTTCTTGACACAATCGGAACCCTATCACCATCAGATAAGCTTTGGTGCATTTGTCAATGGCGTCGTTGCCTTAAGGTGTTTCTTACACGAGCAAACTAAATAAGTTGCATATCTCCATTTGTAACGCTTGATTCATGTATCATTTATTTCTCAACACTTTAGGGTTTTGGGTTGGAACTCAACGAGTTGGGGAGCTCTAACTCGTCGCGTAGGGATCGTTTTGGACACAGGATTAAGGGTCTACTCGACGAGTTAGAAGGCCACAACTCGACGAGTAGACGCTGAAAAGGAAAACCCTAATTTTTAGGGGTTGCACCCTATTTAAAGGCCTTAAGCCTCATTGTTAGCCTCCCTTACCGCCCCCTTTGTCCAGAGAAACCCAAATTCGTGCTTGTTCTCTCATTTTGTGTGTGTGTGGTCTTGGAGAGTGATTTTTGGTGCTTCTTGAAGAAGCTTGAAGTTTGGTGTTGCTTAGTTGAAGGGAGAAGCTTTGGATCGGGGAATTCCTCTGTTGTGGCAGCCATATTAAGGTATAAAGTCGATACCTTGACCATTTATTTGATAGATCTCTTCATTGAGAAGTTTATGGCCTTTAGTAGCTTATTTTGGAGTGATTCTTGGATCTGAGCATGTCTTGAAGTTATGAATTCAGATCTAGACATTTCATGGCCTTTTGAGACTTAAAGTTGCCATCTTTATCAAGTCTTGGCCCTCCTCCATGCCCTAGGTCTCTTATGAATATTAGTTTTAGTGTTTTTAGCCTATTGATACCATGCATGGACGTAAAGTTAGCAACTTTATGTGGTATCTCAGCCCTAGGGGACCAGATCTATGGTTTGGAGGCACTGGACTCGCTTGGAAGTGACTGAATGAGTTAAGACTAGGAAAACTCGACGAGTTGCTTATCCAACTCGGCGAGTTGGATCATGGTCTCCCAACCTTTCTGATTACTAAGCAAACTCGGCGAGTTGTGGAGATAACTCGGTGAGTTGGCTAGGGTTTTCTCGGTTTTCTGAAGACTGAAGGAACTCGACGAGTTGATAGATGCACTCGACGAGTTGGGTCAACATGGACTTTCGACCTTGACTGTTGACTTTGACTTTGACCATGGTTGACCAAGTTTGACTTTAAGGGTATCTTTGGTATTTCGGGATTTTGACGAAGTTAGTCACATGGTGGTTGTAGGCAGTTGAGTTTGGAGCTGTGAGTCGGGATTTGATCGTATCAGTTCAGCATTCCTTGATAGGTGAGTCTCCTCACCATACAATGGGTCGAAGGTACCAAGGCCGACCCATTTTGTGATATGTGGTACACTAGTTGATTTTGTGATATGTGGTATACTAGTTGGTTATGTGCTATGTAGTATGCTAGTTGTCTCTATGATACTTGTATGAAAGACCATGGGGGAGCCCATGGCACTTGGATATCAGACCATGTGGGGGAGCCCATGGCATTCCAAGTAAAGACCATGGGGGAGCCCATGACACTTGGAAATCAGACCATGTGGGGAAGCCTATGGCTTTCCAGGTAAAGATCATAGGGGATCCTATGGCACATAGGTGTAAGACCCCGGGGGAGAGCCCACGACATCCTAGAGTAAGACCCCTCGGGGGAGCTCACCGCATCCTTATATGTTTATATGCATGGCTTATGTCATTGATATGGATTATATGATTATGTGGATTATGTAGGGTATGCTCTGGGGAACTCACTAAGCATTAGCTTACAGTTTGTTGATTGTTTCAGGTACTTCAGGATCTAAGGGCAAGGGCCCGGCATGCACTCTCTGGCGTTTTATTTGGGACACTCTGATATTATGAAAAACTGATTTGAT